CTAGGCCAAGAATCACGCACAATGTTCACCATACACTCTCAATTACTACTCATAATAGCAAGCGTTATAAGCATTTATAACTCCAGTTTATAGATTCAGAAACTGAGTCTCAATGACAATAATTTGTTGACAGGGGGCTTCCAGCAGCCATCTCGTTGCTGCATCGAGAAAATATAGCTGGGAAAGGCCATATGGAATCAAACAGAGCTGCGACCTTGAGAAAAAGGTGGAGTACTAATGGGATCATTTAAACTGTTGGAACCAACCACGCCTAAAGCTAGATCCCCCCTCTTGATCACTTCCATTTTATAGGTAAATGTCATTCCTTTCCGGCTTAAGCTAGTTTGACTTGGGTTCAGTACCATACTATCAAATGAAGCCTAGTACTATTGGTCGGACACACAACACTTTTGAAATATATCCCTCAGAAAAGAAAATTTTGTCCTTCATTGAATAAGTTTAAGACACATTTTAAAAAAGGATGACTGAAATTTTGGGTTCTCTTTAAAACACACCTCATTGAAGCACAGTTCTCTCACATACTTTAATGGCACTAACACACCATAGTCTTTGACTGGCTCACCAGTGCACTGTCATAAGACATTTCAGACTGACTCAGACCTAAGGTATATCCAGCCCACGGCTGCGTTCTGAGAAAGGCACCAAAGGCGATTTGTAGGTAAAGATAAATGTTCCTTATTTTATCAGAAGTCAGAGGTCAGGGAATGCCAATCTCTCCCTAAAAGCTAATTATGCACCTTATTATTCAAAACTGTATACATGCCAGTATCTGCAAAGTGTGTTTTACAACAGAATAATTTGAGGGATAATACAGGGCAAGGACTGTCTCTCTTGTCGGTCCCCCTGCTATCTATCTAGCACCTTGCACAGTGGCTAGAACCTTGCAGGTATATGATAAATATTGAATGGATAATGTGTGACGTTGGGAATTTTTAGGGGAAAAGGGTCTGTGGTCATTTGTGGAACCATTGTATGTAATTGTACGTGTTGGTCAGCGCAGAAGTACCTGAGCAAGATGAGAGAGGGCTGAAACCCAGGCTGTGATTTGCCAGACTTACTGAAGGACTTCGCAGCAGCCTGTTCATTGTGAATCTTGAAAATGGTAGATATAACACCAGATGAATCTCAAATTCTACATAACTAGACTCGTTTTCCCTTATAATCTCAGGAGAAACATAGAATTAAATGGCTCGCCTTATGGGGATAGAGGGTATAGACAGGGGATGGATGATGAAGGGAAGAGTCATTGTCACTCTTTTTCTAACTAATGAGGCTCCTGTGGTGGTGTCTCAGGAGAAATCCCACTTTACTTAATTACCTGTCAATGACTTTTTAAACATTTCTATCAGATATGGTAGCAAAATGATACACAATAGTGTTCATGGCCTTCATTCAACCACCCCATTCTTGACAAAGTGTTAGCCTGGGTTTTTCCCTCCTTCATTGACTTCTGTGGGGAAGGAACGTCTGTGTGTTCTTTCGGAGTCTCCTTTCTGATGCAGTGGCGTCTGATGGATTGATGTTCCTTCTCTTAAAATATTTCATAAGACAGTAGTTTGTCAGCTACTGCTCTCTTTTTCCTCCTTTTTTTTTTCTTTTGAAAATGGAATCAGCTTCCGGCCAAAGAAAAATAAATTTCCTGAGATCAGATCCTCACAATCTTTTTGATAGGCAATGATGGTCAAACATCAGACAGAGTCCCTAGAAACTCTTGTGAAGAAAGTGGAGAAAAAAATCTTTCCCTGCATAGATTATAGTATATTCCCAATAGGTCAAAAGTGTTTAACCAAGAAAAGAAAAAGAACATGTAAGAGCAAGCATTGTAGTACTTAAGACATATGTATTAACTAAGGACTGAGTCTGTGAGCTAATCCATCATTGAGAAACCATTCATTTATGTAACCTTAATTTCCAATATTTACATGGGATGAACCAAAAATTTATTTTCTATGTTTATCCTCTTATTTATTCCTTGCTCTTATCCTATTCCCTTCTGTATCTGTATCCACCCGATAAAGGATGGAGGCTGACTCTGACAGCCTCTTCATTTCATAACCTCCTGAATCAGTTGTCTTTCGGCAGGATCAGCCAATGAAAGGCACTGATGAGAGCTGGGAGGCAGGAGGAAAGGAGAAGCCTCTGTGTTTCTCCCCCTTCCTCTCTGCCTCAGTTGGCAAATTTGGCAACATCAAGTCTTTTCATGAGTCCAGCTTCCACCAGACAGGCCAGCCTTGCTTCTGGTTACCACCAGGAAAAGACCAGCCTCTACATTCCAGTAACCCACCTCTTCACTCTGTCCCTTCAGTCTAGGGACAATGGCAGCTTCCTATTGTTGCTCTTCTCTGGACTGGTTCACCATCCTCTTGCCTTCTGTGTTCCTCTATCACCTATGCAGCCACTTTCTTTCACTATATTCCTTCTGTTGGAAACACTTAGAGAGGTTTCCTTTTTTCTGGTTGAATATTGCTAACAAACTTCATTCCATATTATGCATTTTTAAGAAAATTTGTGAATATGCATTTTAAAAAGCTGGGAAAGTCTTTTCATTGTTTAGAACAGAATGAGATAAGACTCAAACATTGTGACGCAGGAAAGACCATGCGCCCTATCTATATTCAAGGTCTTCCCTACTTCTTCCTGTTTTATATTTTTTAATGCCACCTGAAGAAAGAAGCATTGTTCAACCGAATGGAGTGGCCAGGCTTTAATTCAATGCGCTATATTGGGATAACTTCCTCTTTTTCCAGGAAAAACCATACACAGTAACCAGTTTAAACTGGAACCCATAAAAGCACATAAATGGTACATACTTTTGACTGAATAGGAAGAAAACCAGATCTTAGTGCTCACAGTGTTATCCAATCTGAGATACATTATCCTGGCAGAGTTAAATGATCTTTATGGACAATTTTTCTCCTGCATATTCTTAACTCAAAATACTAAGACCCCATATATGCAAACAGAGACAGGAACTCTAAAGACATATGCACCAAATGTGTGGTCTTTTCCATTGCTCAGTCCAAGCTGAGGTGAGTAGGGCACACTTGCATGCCAAGAAAAGCCACAATGTAGGAGAAACCCATCTAGTCATCAGTCAAATCAATTTACAAAGAGTTACTCAGTCCCTAGCGTGGGCAAAGGAATATACCAATCACTATTTCCTGAAGGTTGACTCAGGGCCTTTGGCAGGTAAATAGAACCAAACGTGCTCTTTAAGTTTTAAAAATGAGAAGCAACACCATTCAAAGGAAGACACTACCTCAACAAACCTCAGGAATAATATTTCCTTATCCCATTGGTATACTTCTGTCTCAGCTAACTTCTCTCACCTTTACCTCTTGGTCTGTAATTGCTGGACAAATATATCTTTCACCTTTCAATGGGACTTACTATTGTGATATTTTCTTTGCTTTACCTTCAAATCTTTGGGATCAGCTTCCTCATCAGTTGGGATCATTAGAAAGGTAGGAAATTTTAAAACAGCAGAATCTAGGCCCACAATGTAGATGCACAAACCACAATGTGAAAATTAATTCCAACAATTTTTGTCCGTTTACTAACAAGGACCGAGATTGGATCAACTTAATCCCATAAACAGTGGCGTTAGTCCTCTGGCATCTTAGTGCCTTATCATTTTTTACTTCCTCAGTCTTGAACACCTAAGGAATGTTTTAAAAGTGTTTTAACATCTGTAGCAGAGACACTGCAGGTGCCCTGCCCACATAGCCTCACCGGTGCCATTTCAGTGGACATCAACCTGGCGTCCAACCACAAGAACCTGCTTTTCTTTGCCTGTGGGGTTTTTTTTTGACACTGGAACCTGCTTTTCCCACCCTCATGCCAGATCAGAACAACCAGGGAATTCACTGCCCCCAGGAGCAGCCCACAACCAACAAACATCTTTCTTGGGTGGCATGTATCTGAGGAATGTATGAGCAGTCCCCAGTGGGATAAGAACAAGTTGCCTGTGGCGGTGCTTTGCTTGGTAATGCACCCTATATAGTCTGCCTTCACTACCCTGCATCACTGCCCCAGTCGCTTCTCAGTGTCCCCTTCTCTGCCCAAACTATTTGCACTCAAAACCTTGCCTCAGAGGCTGCTTCTAGAGGAATCCAGACTGAGACAAAACCAAATTATTTCTCAACCCTCTGAGGGAACATTGGCTAATCCCAAGGTGAACCAGTCTTATGTATATTTTCTACAGAAGAACCAAATGAATTGATGCTTTTTCTGACAAAGCTGCGGTGATGAATGGAGAAAACAGCAATTGCAGCAACACTGCACCTTCCTGTGCTTGGCTTCCTCTCATTTTCAACACATCCAGCTTATCTATCCCGGGCATCTTTGGACACAGCAGTGTAGAAAAGCCCCACACCCGAAAATGAAGATGACAGAGTGTCCAGAAATTAAGGCCATTGTATCCCACCATTGTAATTATAACTGGCCATTCTCACCTATCAGCTTTGCTTCTTCGTTTATTAGTTTGCCATTTAAGACGCCAGTGAATTATTAAAAGATTATGTCCTTTCCCAACCATTATGATGATGCTATTTTGGTTTCTCTGACTATAGAGAACTAAAATAAAAGTTATATGCAAATCAGTGCCAAAATAGCTTACTTTTTAGAATCTCAAGCAGTGAACTGTGAAATGGTTGTGATAAAAGTGTATTTATTCTTTCTGACTCGTGGCATCATGTTGCTGTTCTGGGGGGTAAATATGTTATCTTTCCAAATACACTTTTGCAGCTGATTTTAATAGACTTGACACAATGTGTACTGGCTTCCAAAAATAGGAGTGTATATGTGTCAAGACTACTTCTATTATTAGCCTCTAAGCATTCCCATTACTTACCATCTCCTCCACATCACAGGCTGTTACATGGTACCATAAAGAGTAGTTATTTCCTGTGGGCAGTTACCTTCCTTTTTGAATTCAGATTGTGAGATAGGTTTAGACAAATAAAAAGAAACAAAATGTTAGCTTATTAAGAGAAACAATAGTCTATTTCCATTGCTTTGGGCAAAACATAAACAAGGTCTGAAGTGAGAAAGCACCATTTGGTTGAAAAAACCGTAAAGATAGTAAACTGGTGTTTTCATTGCTTTTTGTCGTCTGAAGTCCTCATTGATCAAAGAGAGAAACCACATCGTTGCTACAAATGAATGCTATGAACTGTTAAGACCAGTGCTGTCACACTGTGAACTATCAAAGTCAAAAGGACAGTGTCATGAGAGAAAAATAAACACAACCAGGGAGCTTTAAAGGCATTTAGCCACTCTGCCGTCCTCTGTAAGTATTTTCATGTACTCAGTAATATAAAGGAAGCAGAAGCAAGAGCCTGGGGTGAAACAAGAAGACAGGCACATTATAATAACAAGGTGAAGAGACAGATCACAGAGAACCTCACACTGCTTAATTTCAATTTAAGGGGTTACTTAAATGCATGGCCTTATGGAAATTTGATAATATGTTATGGTTCATCTGAACTTGTCAGTTGGCCCCAAGCTGCGATAATCAACTTTTCAATGTCAGACTCGTTTACTCCTCGAAGAATCCTGAAATAGCCATTCTCTCCCCAGGACTTTCCCCAGGAATTGGCAGCGACCTGTAGAAAAACAAAAAAATAAAAAAGCTGAGTATCACACTTCCATATTTTTTAATCCTGCCTGTAAAAACACAGGGAACTGATATGTAGCTTTAAATGCCTTTTGACTTATTATGAATTGTAATTATTAAGAACTGAAATATTTTCTAAATAAGAATAAAACAGTTATATTATTCATAAGTTAGATTAACATGCATGGATATACATGTAGGCAATAGCCAGGATTGGTGTAACACCTCTGAGTCCCCCAAAGTACAACAGTGACATATACGTCAGAGCTTGAAATGCCTCATCAGAAGATGGCAGACAAGCTGCAGTTATCAAGTGTCTACTGCGTGACTGGCCCTGTGCTGGGCACTGGAGGAACACAGGTAAACAATACCTTATCCTGTGTTCAGAGAGCTCATGGGCTAATGAAGGACGACCACCATAAGGCAAGTGCTAAGGTAGAAATACGCACAGAGTGCTGTTGAAGTCAGCAGAGGGGCATCTCGCTTATTTGAATGGCTCACGGAAGTTGTCCCGGAAGAAGTGCCACATGAGATGCATATTGAAGCCTGAGCATAAAATAACCAGATAAAAAAGGAGGAAGGAGAGTCAAGTAAAGCGAAACAGCAAAAGCATAAATACCAAAGCACGAAGCAGCATGAAGCAGCGAAATGAAGCAATGAAATTGTATAATTAGATCATTAAATGGAAGCAGGCTGGTAGGTTACGAGGCTGGAACAGAAGATAATAACATCCATACTGAAAAAATATGGTAAAAATAATGGCAAGTTTTGAGTTGTTTCCAGTAGGAGAACGAGGTGGACAAATTTATGTTTTGATTACATTACTCTGTGTGAAATGAAATGGATGGACTTAAGAGGGTAGACCCAAGAGGCAAGGAAACTTGTTAATAAACTTGTAATAATCAAGTTGGATGACAACGGGGGCAGGGAAAATAGGGAGAGAAACAGAGAAAGTATTTGAGAAATATTCAGAAAGTAAAATCAATAGGGATTAGAAATTTTCTTTCTATTTTTATTTTTAAAACAGGAGGATGGTTAGAGAGTTGGGATAGGTCCAGAATGTCTCCCGGGCTTAGAGCTTGGGTGAGTAAGCATACAGGAAGCAAACCCATGAATGCAGTAGATAGAGAGTCTCATGAAGGCCAGAAGGACACTCAGGAGGGAGGCAGTTGACCACAACTAAATGCAACAGAAAAGTCCAGTAGGATAACAACTGAAAATTTTCACGGGATTTGGTAAATTGGGGACTTCAGAACAACAGCTTCCACGCTTGCCTCACATTCACCCTCCCCTGGGCTTAAGATGGAAAATTTTCTCAAACGTGAACTACACTGATATTCTCAAGGTATATGGTGTTGCGTTGAGTTCGACTGTTTTCTATCATGTAAAAGGGCAGGTTTACTCAGCGACAAAATAGTCGTGACAACATAAGCTTTAAGAAAGAACTGACTCTTGTCATTTCTTTTAAGATTTGTCTCTTTGCCTTCTTTTTTCCCCAACTTTATTGAGATATTGACATATAAAATATGTAAGTTTAAGGTGTACAATGTGATGATTAGATACATGTATATGTTGCAAAATGATTACAACAAATTTTAATTAACACCTCCATCTCTTCATGTAATTACGATTTGTGTGTGTGTGTGCGTGTGTGTGTGTGTGGTGATAACATCTAAGATCTACTCTCTTAAAAACTTTCAAGTATATAATATAGTATTGATAATTATGGTCACCATGCTGTGCATTAGAGCCCCAGATCTTATTCATCTTATACCTGGGAGTTGGTACCCTTTGACTAATATGTCCCCATTTCCCCCACCCCCCAGCCCCTGGCAATCACCATTCTATTCTCTATTTCTATGAGTTTGGCTTTTTTAGATTCCACATATAAGTGAGAACATATAGTATTTTGTCTTTATCTGTCTGACTTACTTCACTTAGTATAATGCCCTCAAGATCTATCCATGTTGTCACAAAAGGCAGGATTTCTTTCTTTTTCATGGCTGAATAACATTCCACTGTGTATATTTTATATATATAAACATTTTCTTTACTCATTTATCCATTGATGAACACTCAGGTTGTTTCCATGTCTTGGTTATTGTAAATAATGCTTCAATGAACATGAGAGTGTAGATAACTCTTCAATATTCTTTTTTATTTCTTTTGGATATATACCCAGAAGTGGGCTTGCTGCATCATCATATGGTAGTTCTATTTTTAATTTTTTGAGGAACCTCCATACTGTTTTCTATCGTGTCTGTACCAATTTACATTCCTACCAACAGTGCACAAGAGTTCCCTTTTCTCCACAGCCTCACCGGTACTTAATTTTTGTCTTTTCGATAATAGCCATTTTAACAGGTGTGAGGTCATCTTGTTGTGGTTTTGATTTGCATTTCCCTGAAGATTAGTGATGTTGAGCATGTTTTCATGTACCTGTTGACCATTTTTATGTCTTCTTTGGGAAAATGTCTATTCAAGTCCTTTGCCCTCTTTTAATTGGACTACTTGGTTTTTTGCTATTGAGTTGTATGAGTCCCTTATATATGTGGGATATTAACCCTTTATCAGATATATCTGTTTTGCAAATATTTTCTCCCATTCCATAGATTACCTTGTTATTTTGCTGATTGTTTCTTTTGCTATGCAGAAGGTTTTCAGTTTGCTGTAGTCTCACTTGTTGATTTTTGCTTTTGTTGTTTATACTTTTGGTGTCATATCCAAAAAATCCCCATGCTTTTGTTCTAGGAGTCTTATGGTTTCAGGTCTTACATTTAAGTCTTTAATCCATTTCAAGTTAATTTTTGCAGGTAGTATAAACTAGAGGTCCAATTTCATTCTTCTGCATGTGGTTATCCAGTTTTTCCACCATTTATTGAGGTAACTATCCTTTCCCCATTGTGTCTTCTTTGTTCCCTTGTCAAATGTTAGTTGATCATATGTCCGTGGGTTTATTTCTAGGTTCTCGTTCTGTTCATTGGTCTATATATCTATTTTTATGCCAGTATCATGCCGTTTTGATTACTATAGCTTTATAATAAAGTTTGAAATCAGGAAGTGAGATGCTTTCAGCTTTGTTGTTCTTTCTCATGATGGTTTTGGCTATTCAGGGTCTTTTGTGATTTCATACAAGTTGTAGGATTGTTTTATCTATTTCCGTGAAAAATGTCTTTGGAATTTTGATAGATATTGTATTGAATCCATAGATGGCTTTGGGTAGTATGGACATTTTAACAATATTAATTCTTCCAATTCATGAACATGGGGTATCCTTCCATTTATTTGCATCTTCTTTAATTTCTTTCACCAATTTCTTATAATTTTCAATATACAGATCTTTTATCTCCTTGGTTAAATTTCTTCCTAAGTATTTTTTTGGATGGTATTGTCAATGGGATTATTTTCTTTATTTCTTGTTCAGATAGTTTGCTGTTAGTATGTAGAAATGCAACTGATTTTTGTATGTTGATTTTGTATCCTGCAACTTTACCAAATTCATTTATTAGTTCTAATAGATTTTTGGTTGTGTCTTTAGGGTTTTCTACGTATAAAATCACAGCATCTGCCAACAGAGACAGCTCTACTTCTTCCTTTCCAATTTGGATGCTTTTTATTTCTTTTTCTGGCCTGATTACACTGGTTGGGACTTCCAGTACTATATTGAGAGGAGAGGTAAGATTGGGCACCCCTGTTGTGTTTCTGATCTTAGTGGGAAAGTTTTCAACCTTTCACCACTGAGTATGATGTTTGCTGTGGGTTTATGATATATAGCATCTATTGCATTAAGGTATGTTCCTTCTATACCCAATTTGTTGAGGACTTTTATCATAAAATGATGTTTAATTTTGTCAAATGCTTTTTCTGCATCTATTGAGATGGTCATATAAATGTTATGTTTCATTCTATTAATGTGTTGTATCATATACATTGATTTGCGTATGTTGAACCATCTTTGCATTCCAGAGATAAATCCCACTTGATCATGATGCAAGGATCCTTTTAATGCACTGTTGAAATCAATTTGCCAGTAATTTGTTGAGAATTTTTGCATCTATGTTCATCAGGGATATTGGTAAATAGATTTCACGTAGTTTTACTATCTGACTTTGGTATCAGAGTAATGCTGGTCTTATAAAATGAGCTTGGGATTGTTCCCTGCTCTTCAATTTTTTGGAAGAGTTTGAGAAGGATTGGCATTAATTATTTAAATGTTTGGTAGAATTCACCAGTGAAACCATTTGTCCTGGGCTTTTCTTTATTGGGAGGTTTTTGATTACTGATTCTATCTCCTTACTCATTATTGGTCTGTTCAGATTTTCTATTTCTTCATTATTTTGTCTTGGTATGTTGTATGTTTCTAGGAATCTATCTACAGGCATACCTTAAAGATATTGCAGGTTTGATTCCAGGCCACCACAATAAAGCAAATATCGCCATAAGGTGGGTCACAAATTTTTTGGTTTCCCAGTGCATATAAAAGTTATGTTTACACTATTCTGTAATATGTTAAGTGTGCAATAGTACTATGTCTAAAAAACAATGTACATACCTTAATTGAGAAATACTTCATTGCTAAAAAATACTAACCATCATCTGAGCCTGTGAATTTTCCAGTTTTCTTCCTGTTTTTAATTTCTAGTTTCATACCATTGTGGTCAGAAAAGATAATTGGTATGATTTCAATCTTCTTATATTTTTTAAGGCATTTTTTATGACTTAACACATGATCTATCCTGGAGAATGTTCTGTGTGCACTTGAGAAGAGTGGGTACTCTGCCGGTGTTGGGTGGAATGTTCTTTATATGTCTATTAGGTCCATTTGGTGTGATGTATAGTTCAAGTCCAGTGTTTCCTAATTGACTTTTTTTCTGAATGACATTTCCATTGTTGAAAGTGTGGTATTCAAGTCTCCCACTATTACTGTACTGTTGTCTATTTTTTCCTTCAAACCTGTTGGTATGTGCTTTATATATTTGGGTGCTCCTT